GTCACACTTGGTCCAGTTTTCACCTATCACTTTTGAACGGTGAGTTTTCTTGAATAGCAGACATGTTGTTTACTTTAATTTACATATTTGTTTCATAAAATACTGTCAATGAAATGTCCTTATAAACTATACCATCAGTTTCAAGTAGAATTTAGCATTTTCATAATATAATGACTCGTCTAGCTCTTTGAAATTCGGAAAACACCGTAGTGAATTGTCTCCGTGGATGAAGATTGTGGTAAGCGAGAAAAATTACTGCAAAGTGTATCGGTAGCTTTTTCTTGGGTTAGAACAGGGCAGAGAAGTTTTGCTTTCATGGATATCCGGCGGTTTCTAGCGGCTGTCGAGAAGACAAAGCATAATGCCAGCCGCAACGAATAAACAGCCGATCCACGTCTTCCAGTTGTGGCGCTTTCGATGAAGCACAAGGCAATGATCGGCACAGACGGTGATGACGAGTGTCAATGCGTTGGTGACTGGAGCCGCAATGGTTAATGGCAGACATTTCAATGATATGAAATAAACGACAGAGCCGCACTGGTTAACGATAAAAGCCACCAACGTTTTCGCCCCAATGCCGCTGAATGAAAGCAGCGACCCTTTTGGCCACGTAACAGCTTTGTCTCTCGACGACCAAAGCTTCAGCAAAACGTTGCTGATGCCCCACAGAAATGCTGCCGTAACAATGCCTAGTGCCCCACCAACGTGCATGTTCTAGAAGAATATGAAGACGTAGTAATTACTTGTAATTGCTGTATACACGTACATAAGCAAGAACGACGGTGCAAATACTAACGTCTGTTCTTTAGATTCAGATTTTAATAAGGTACATCAATCAGGGCATGTTTCTTAATAGAGTATGTATACATCTTTCGCTAATCAGAATGTAATAAGGTGCAGCATATACAGAGCATACAATTAATAAATAACTACACAAGGTTGACAGTGTAAAAGAAGCATCAGTGTGATGATAGCCATAGCGATCTGCTAATGTTAAGTTGTTCACACAGTTTTAGGCCGTCGTCAAATCCGGATCGATTGATCGACTATCAGATAGCTATCGATCGTCACTGACGACCTCAAAATATAGCAGATGTTTGGTAATGTTAATTAATTCCCCTCAAACCTTGTTGTAGCGGGTATTACTGGGTCCAGGCTTAGACTATCGTGACAATATGTACCCTTGTCAGGAACATTACGTAGTAGGATGGTCAAAGCTATGCAGAACAGCGATGATACATGACAAAGCAATGTCATGAAGTTCTGTTAGAAACGCCAAGCCTTTCTGACTCTAAAAGTGCTGTTGACGTGGCCGCCTCGGGTCATGTCGTTGATTTTTGTCACTAATGAGGAATGAAATATGGCACCCAGCGTCGTCTTCGCAGCAGTGGGATGATAAGAAATTAACTGTGTCCATGTGGGTAGAGTGAAAGCAGTATCACGATTAGGTACTCTTTATACGCTACGGAATAAACATGTTCGTACGCTGAAATGTCCGTTGATTCTTACACGATCAGATTTTGTGGTATTACACTGCCCTCTTGATCCTAGTTCCTTACAGGAACAATTACAACCGGTCTACGGCTCTACGGTACTTCAGCACATGTAACGCAATGCTAGATGCATTTCGTATCATCTTTCCCGTTAAAAAATCGTCATACTGATTATGAAGGACATTTCGAGAGCTGCTGCCGCCGTATACATGTACATAAAAATAGTTATAGTATATTTATCGGTGCGTAACTGCTCCACGGTAGCATTCCATGGTAGCTATACAGGATATCAACTCCTGAACTTTGTAATGAGTATTACGCTGTTCTAACGAAAGAAAAGCGACGGAAGGTTAATCAAGCACTACAGGTGCCCAAATAACATGGACCCTACGAAATTACGTGATAGCAGATAGTGTAGCGGACTGTGAAATAGATTTTATGGGTGTTATACAACTAACATACTGTATATGTTTCCGTCGAAAGTGGTAAACCGTCCATACCGATATGAAGTGAAATTAATTTTCTTTTAAGCCCAAAGCGATGTGTAGTTTTTATAGCATTAATACCTAAGCCTCTGCCTATATCAAAGCCACGGCGTAAACTT